TAGAAAAACCCCCGGGGGGTCCCAAACCCCCCAAAAAAAACACGAATTTTTTTTTTCTTTTCCTATTTCCCCCCCCCGGGTGGGTTTGGTTTGGTTAAAAAAAAACCCCCGGGTTCTTAGGGGGCAGTCTTTTTTCCCCCCCCAAAAAAAATACCCCCGGAAACCCCCGGAAATTAGAAAAAAAAAAAAGGAAAATTTTAAAACGAATTAAGGGGCCCCCCCCCCCCCCCCCCCAAAACCACACGGGGCCCCCCCCCCCCCCCCCCCGGGCCCACCTCCGCGTCGGGTAGGTCTACGAGGATCCTCCTCGGCAGTCGTCGCAGCACCGCCTCGTCTAGGTCGAAGGGTCGGTTGGTGGAGGCGATCACGACCACGCGGTCACCACCCGTGCGGAGCCCGTCCCACTCCTGCATGAGGGTGGTCTTCACGCTGGTCAGGGTGCCGTGGGTGGTGTCGTCGTACTTCTCTCGGCTGCTCAGCACCGAGTCCACCTGACAAAACAGTAAGAAAAGCGAAACATTTTGGGGGGGGGGGGTATTCATGGTCGTTAAGGACGGCCGCGGAGAGAGGAAGCAGTTAGGCCACAAAAGGGATCGTGATTGGAGGGGGCTACAGCGAAACAAAGAAAAAGTTTTATACTAGGAGTAGACGAGACGCACTACGATGAAACGACCAGAAACGACCAACATCGAAGATTTGAAGCAAAGCACAGCACATCATAAACGATTCATTTAAGCAACAATTGTAGCCACTGAAACCAGCAAACCATAGCAGATTTAAGCAACAACATTAACATGAAATCAGCAAGAGTATCATCACTACGTGCTGTCACACTCTGTACCACAACCACCACCACCAACAACCCACCTCATCGATGAAGATTACGCACGGCGCAAGCCTCCTGGCCAGGGTGAAGACCGCTCGTGCGTTCTTCTCGCTCTCCCCGAGCCACTTGTTCTCGATCACGCTCGCGTCCACGCTGAGGAAAGTGGCGCCCCCCTCAGTGGCGACCGCCTTCGCGAGCATCGTTCTTCCCCGTCCCTGTGCAACAACACAACACAACACAACACAACACAACACAGCACAAGCACAAAGAAAAAAAAAAAATGAACGTCACTTCCCTACAAAGACGGCAAGAGAAGGGAGGAAAAAAACCACATGTGCGGTGAGGAAAAAAACGGGGGCGATAGTGGGAGATTGATTGGATCACAAACAACAAAATAATGCAGCACTGCTGTAACCTTGTTCACCCCAACACGACATAAATCCACCCCCCCCCCCCCCGACAAAGACGGCCTCTTTAAGTGATGATGATGATGAACCTGCAAACAAGAGCCATGGCCATTGAATATCACAACAACAAAAACAAGGGCAGGCGGACGGACGGACCGCCTTCGCGCGATTAATACGGTCATGAGGAATAGAACAGGGAGGGGGAACGCAGACCGTATTCCCTACCCCTAACCCAACTCCCCCGATTGATTGGATGCATGCTTTCCCCAACATGTTTAATGAATAGAAAACCATCCCGGACCGGCTTCGCGCGATTCATAAGTTAATGAGGAAATAGAACAGTAAGGGGGGACGGAGTTAAAGGGGGTACGCAGACCGTATTCCCTACCCCTAACCCTAACCCGACTTCCCCGATTGTATGCTTTATCCAACATGTTTACATAATACGAAAAACCCTGCGAAGCCTGCCGAGACGGACCCGTACCCATCCCAGGCGACTTTTAAAATCTTTGGCACGGACTCGTGTGTCAAGCCCCCATGTTAGAGTATCGCACCGGGAGGACCGAAGAGAAGCACCCCCTTGACGGCCTCCTTGGCGATACCCTCGCTGTACAGGTGGGGGAACCGCAGGGGGTACGTGATGCACTGCCGCAGCAGCTCCTTCGCCCCGCCCAGGCCCCCGATCATGTCGTACGTCACCCCGATGTCCTTGGGGAGAATTACGTTCGTCACCAGCGCCTGCTCGTGCCTGTCGTGCTGTGCGCATAGTATTGGGTACATCGATATCAACCGTCAAGACCAGGGGTGTCGAGGAGAGAGATAGAGGGGGGGGGGGGGGGTCAAGTTCAAGCACGCAGCAGCAAAGAGGAGATCAGGCAACAAACACCATGCTGTCCGTCTCCCCTTGGGGAGCATAACCTCGCCACTAACAACATCGACTACATCTCGCATGGGGACAACAACGTCGCCACGAACACCGACGATACCAAAAACTCGCTTGGGGGAGAACAACGGCCCACCACTAAAACACAACACCGACGATACCAAAAACTTGCCTGCGCCAGCGCGGTGACCTCTTCCCTCGTGCGGCTCATCGGCTGCCCCGGTCTTGGCACGTAGGCCTTGCACACAGCCGCGAAGGCCGTCTCCATGCTCTGCCGGGAGATAACCAGCCGACCCTTCGTCGTCTTGCGGGGAGCGGGCGGGGGTTGCGGCGAAGAAGCGGGGGTCCCGTCGTCTTGAACTACCTTAGTACCACCGCCTCCGTTGCTGTTGGCCTCGGCAGCCTGGAAAAAAAAGTATGAAAAAGCTGTTCATCTTTTCACGATTTTTTTAGATTTTCAGTCTTTTTGGGTCCTTCCAAGTACATTGCCGTCTCGAACGACATATACTCTTGTCCATAGAGAAAAAGAGAAGCACACACGGCAGCTCTTGGAACTTGCTTCGACGGCCGTCTCCATTCCTGGCAAGAATGGCGAAAAGACACAAGCAGCGATGCTCTGACGTGTAGAAGGGAGAGCAGGGAGGGACAACGTGACACGACACTCTCGACACACAACCATACTTGCCTGGCTGAGCTCCACCTTGAGCGCGGAGAGCACGACCTGGCCAGTCTCGGCCTCGGTTAGCCGGTGCCTCGCGAGGAGGGGGGTCCAGCCGTCTCAGCTCGGGGCAAGCCAGCATGTTCTTCCGCAGCGCGGTCAACAGAACCTTTTTCGTTGTCGGTGTTATGCACGTCGTCGAAAAGCAGGTTGCTATTTGTTGTGCTGCATACGCCGTGACCGTGTTGTTGTTGTGATGTAGTCAAAAACGTGGTCGTTACAGTATGACACCTTGCGCTATATATATATATATATATATGTAGCATGCGCTAAAGCGTGCCGTGGTGTGTTGCGGTGCAAGCAATTTCGGTTTGTGGTGAGAGCTGGAAACAGCATCGCAAAGTGTAGCAGCAGCAGCATAGCATACGAGTAAAAAGGAGTGGTAACAAACATGCCGACAGCAAGGTCGCGAACATGGAGAGGCACACAAGATGGCTATGAATGATGCGTTGCTGCTGTTGTGGGGAACCTATGCTGTCTTGTGGTACTCACGCGGCTGGTTGTCTTGACCGGATTGCACCACAAATAACGAAAAAATCCAAAACGATCACCAGCAAATAATTAAAGCTCCGACGATCAAGCACAGCAGTAGTGACACTACTGCTGTACTGTCACCAGACTCATTCAAGCTCCCCCGCATCGGTAAGAAGCCAGCTTCATACGGTACTCCGGCAGCTTCGTCCACGATGACAGCAAGGCGGAGACCGCTCCCACAATCATGTGCAACGTAGGGCGACGACCAACTTCCTTGTACCGGCAAACGGAACGATTTATTTCGATATCGTTTCTTGCCGACGTGCTCGTAGATAAGGCATGGCGCGACTCGCGATATAACCCCGCCTCTTCTTGAGACGCCTCACGTCATCCGTACCCAACCGCCCGTTTTGTCCTGCTGCCTGAACACCCCACCCACTCTGTACACACCCACGAAAAACGCACGCATGCAGTGCCTGCAACACACACAACTAACATCCACAATTCAAGCGTCAAATCTCGTCGCCAGGCTACCCCACCTGTCTGTTCTGCTGCGCGTTGTGCTTGCCCACGTCCTCCTTCACCCACGTGTCCCAGTGCTGCCGCAGCACGGCGTCCTGCGGAGGGTTGACAGCGATGTCCTCAAACAGGTTGACGAAGGCCCTGATCTCCGTTCCAGACGGGGGAAGGTCTACCCCCCGCCGGGTGTCGGCCTTGCTTCGCCCACCGCCGCCGCCCCCGTCCCCCCCTCCCCCCGCGCTGCCGCTACCGCTTCCCCCGGTGTTGGGCCCTACGCCGGAGCCGTCTTGGTTGTCCATGCCAAAGTCATCGTTGCCTTCGACACCGTTGCCCATTTCGTCTTTCACACGCGCCATCATCCACGACACACGCGGCGAATGATCGGATGCGAGGGAAGGGGGAGGGGGTCAGGCATGACCCTTTCACCTCCCGTTGTGAATGATATCATCATCATTTGCCGCGACACATTTAGTACTCCTAAACTAAACAACAGCAGCGTACCAAAAAATCTCAGCGCAGGCTGTACTTACAAGCGATCAATCGCAAAGCAGCCCACCATCCCAGCCAACCGACTATTATAAGCGTGTGCATACGTGCATACCTCCGCTCATGATACCCTTCCTGAGGTTGGTAAGCCACGACAAGGAAGACGAGCTCTGCCAGTTGTTGCCACCGCTACCCCCCCTGTCATCTCCGGGGCCCCCGCCCCCTCCCCCCCCCCAGGAGTGAGACGCGTCCCCGTCACCCCCCGATTCCCCGGCGGAGGCGTTACTGTTCCCGTTGTCGCCCCCGTCTCCTCCGTTGTTGTTGCCGTCGCCCCCGTTGAGCGGGGTGGTGCTAGCGCTGAACATGATGGAGAATCCCTGCTGCGAGAACGAGAGTTGATTTTTGTTCAGAGCGGCAAGGGGGGCAGAGGAGTTCCATGTCGGTCTTGCATAAGGCAGCCACGTAACCGCGGTTTGGATGCAGTGTGCAATAACTGGGAAATAATGGCAACACAGCTGGGGCGAGGGAGGCGATCTTACTCATTTCTTGCGCGCCTATTTGTGTGGGTGGGACGGAGGGCGGCGGCGGCGGCGGCGGCAGCAGCAGGGGGGGGTATGCTGGTGGCGCTGATGGCGACAGATACCGCCGTTTCTGCTCGACGACGACTGAAAGGCGGCGGTGGCTTCGGTTCACAACAAGACTGCTGCAGTGCAGGTTCGGATGCTGGAGCCGGTGGGCGATGGGATGATCGACAGTACGTACAATACCGGAGAAAACATCGAAAACACCGCAAATAAAAATAGCAAGAACAATGTTTCGTGTCACGTGTCGTGCCAAAACACAGAATTAGAACCACCGCACGCTTCTCTTGACAATTCTCGAGCTAAACGTAGACGTCTTTGGGTACAAGCCTGCTTCGGTTACCGTAAGAAACAATTGCACACTGCTGCTGTACAGTAAGACCAAACCATCGAACGCGCAGAGGAAAATACAATACAACAACGCAGAGCGTGTGTACATCCACAACAAGATTGATCACAACCGAACATCTACATCAACAGCCTCAACAAAACAGTAACGCAGAGCGTGCGTACGTACATCCATGACTATAACAGATTAATCGAAACGAACATCAACACCAACACATAAAAAAAAAAACTACATACTGTACCTTGGTCTATCTACTCTTCGCACACACACCTGTCCCTGATCTTTCCCGAGCTGCTTCCCGATCTGCTCCAGCGTCCTCTTGAACTCATCGTCGTTGAGCGCCTCTCCCAGAGCCTCCATCAGCCCCGGAGGGATCTCCCCGCTGCCGTTGCCACCCTCGCCGCCGCCGCTTCCGTTCCGCCCCGCCCCGTCGCCCTTGCCGGTATCCCCGGATCTCATGTTCTTCATCGCCTCCCTAAGCATCTGGAGAGGCAAAGGCCGTCGAGGAGAGACGGATTGTGCGCATATCGATGGCGGCAGAGGACAGGGGGGGTTGGGGCGCGGTATGAAAATGTGAATATGAGCGTACGTTTTGTCAGTTTCGGTACCATACGTATGTCGCGCTCTGTTGAAACAGCGCGTTGTTCTTGTGCCGCAGTTTGAAGTACTTTGTACAGCGGGTAGGACATGCTATCACGAGCTTCTTGGCGAACTTCGTGTGACCGTGCACACGCGTGCCTAACTCCTCGCGCACTTCCCCCCCCACCCTACAACAAGATTCATCAAAGTGTGTTTGTGGTTTCCTCCTCCTCCTCCTCCTCCGTCTCAGTGATACCTAGTCCATTCCGTGAGAGTGTCTGAAGAGACAAAGTCGACAGCACTCCATTTTCAAAACGAACGCATGTAAAACCAAAGTACAGACGGCAACTGCTTTCCCATCTTCAAAACGAACGGATGTAAAACCAGAGTACAGACGGCAACTGCTTTCAGGCGTAAAAAAAATCCTCAACCTCTCATCATATGCACCTGCTCTAGCATCTGCGGCGGGATGGGGGGCCCGCCGGGACCCCCGCCCGGCATCCCCCTGCCCCCCCCCTCCCCAAACCCTTGCTGCCCCGGCTGCGGCTGCCCCCTGCCCCCGGACCGCCCGCCGCCGCCGCCGCCGCCCCCACGGCCTCCCCGGTTGGGACGTCCCCCGAAGAAGCTGCCGCCGCCACCGCCACCGCCGCCGCCGCCGCTCCCGTCCGGTGCCCCACCACCGGGCTGGTTCTGGTGCAGGAAGATGTAGTTCTTCTTTGGCGAGCCGTCCTGTTGTGACCATGAAAAAAAACAAAGGTTCATGGGTGGGGGTAGGGTGAAACAAAACACAAAAAGAGGCTTAAAAAAAAAAGTCAGATGGTGCATGCAATACAATATGGGCGGGGTACGGTGAAACCAAAACAAGAGGCTTAAAAACGAAAAAACAAACGCCAGACGGTGCAAGCGATTGCGTGCGAACGTGCCAGGACCCGTTCTCCAAACAATTGAGGACTTGCGGTAACTACAACTACTAATACGGTAGATGTGTATACCGCAGCAGTACGGGATGGTAGGTAGGGTCCCGTGTCGGTCTCCAAAGATTCAATGATGCAGCAGCAGTGCTGCGCGATACACTTCCAAGTTTTGAAAACACGTGGGGCTTGGAGTACAGGGTCCATTTGTAAGTGTTTCTGGATGACGTCTAGGCCAAGCCGTAGCGGGAACAAGGCAGACTGAAAATACCACGTTAATACCACCGTCCAACCAAGGGTCCACGCTACAACGACAGCAGCAGCAGCAGCAGCAGCAGCAGCAGCAGCAAAAACAACAATAGTCGATAAAGACCTTACCGAGCGCTTGGACTGTCCCGGAGACATGCCGTGGGGCTGGGGAGGCCACTGAAGTGGCGATCCGAACATGCCGCCACCACCCTGGCAAAAAACGTTACGCCACATCACACACAAACATCCAAACATCTTGTGTCAAACCACACCACCTCACGCCTGACGCCATGTCACCACAACAGTATATTGGTGCTTCGTGCAAACGATGGCATACCGCAAATTGGCGACTAAAAAACGGGACACCATGTCAATCACGCCACCGTGCAAATTAGGCCGCGTCGTGCGCAGCGAGTAAGACAGAAGGCAGGGGGTGGGTCGCATCATCCACAGACCAAACAACAAAAATATTCTACTCGAATAGAGGACGCCGACACGATGCGCCGGTTCTCTGTTTTAACACAACCGCCCCCAGCAATCATGGCACTTAATTCGCTCGCTCGCAACCCAGAGAGAAGAAACCGAGGAAACGGGTAGTCTTTCTGTGAGTTCCATGTATATTTTCTAGAAAAACCGAGAGAAGACCAAAAATCATGACACATACTGCTCGTTCGCAACACAGAGAGACTAGAACAGAGACGACAAAAGACCATGACAGATATTCGCTCGTTCGTAAGAGAGAAGAAACAGAGAAGCAAGTCTACACCGGACACCTGCTGGGGGTCGTCCTGTGAACTGGCGTCGTCGCCAGGTCCGGCCGGTGGGTTTCCCGGCAAGGAGGGATCGCTCGCGGTGGACAGCAGGAACAGCACCCGAGACGACTCGTTCTTCAACTCTTCGGTCAACCTTTTTTCATTGATAATCGTTCACGAAATGTTGTCCGGGGCGGCGGTATTGGTGGTTAGAGGTGATAGATCACAGCTATGGACAAGGGGGGGGGGAGGCAGCAAGTTCTAGCTTTGAAAATTTAAAATGTATTGGACAGCAACACCAGCAGACCCGGGATGGCTGCTGTGTGTTCAACTTTCGACGGGTTTGCAGTGAGAGTGCAACGGTCGGTGGGTCGGTAAAAGTGCGCCTCGGCTGACCGTTCGTGCCACGTGGATTGCCCGGCTGTGCACTATGAAGGTAAATGCGATAGCGCTGTCGGATCTGACCGTTGTTCTCTCTTCCATTTCTCTCAATGCGTCCTTCCTTTCCTCTTGTCCCCTCTCTCCTCGCTAGTTTGTCTCCAGCAAGGACTATCACTACATATCATCACTCCCTTCCCCGTTGACTGTCTTTCTCTCACTGCATGTCTGCCTCCCCCTTCCCTCCCTCCCTCGCTCCCTCCCTCATTGCCTGCCTGCTTCCATCAGGATGAACACCCACCCATCCGCCAACCCGTCACTGTAGCGTGGGACTCTTCTCTCCTGCCTTCCACCTCTCCAACATCTCCCGCCAGGCCGGCCGAACAACCCCGACGCACTCCCTGCCGCCTCAGGAGTCATCTACGACAACTGCTGCATCTACAAACAATTTACGATAGCGTACCAACCGGACCGCCCGCCACCCTCCCCCCCTCCCTCCCGCCGCTCTCCCACTCACCTCTGGCACATGCCCCTGCTCTTGAGCACGGCGCTGCCCTTGTCCATGAGGAACACCAGGTAGGGCGAGTCGTCCTCTCCTGCCAGCTCAAGCAGGGCGGACGCGAGCTGCCTCGACGTGAGGTGCTCCTTTGGGATGCCCTCCGCAAGAGCCTGCCCTCGAACCTGACAAGACACATGCCACCACCACCCCACGCCATGTTCACCGCAAAAAATGAACCAAAAAGATACAAGGAGGACATCGGAGATATCACCCATGTTCCACGAGCAAAAAATTAACCAAACAGATACAAGGAGGACATCGGAGATATCACCCATGTTCCACGAGCACAAAATGAACCAAAAATTTACATACAAGATAACACAATGCATCGAAGAGACTACTGTCTATTGAGAAGGGTTGCGCAGTCTAGAAGGCAGTTAGGCTCGCGTGCAAGTGTCTTTGTGTCCGCCGCATCAAACGTGCGCCCGCTTCTAGAACAAGTTCTGTGACGTACACTACGGACGTAAGTCCGATGAGATACAGAGGGATAGACAGCCATCTTTACACTATTAATAGACACTTGTGTTCCACTCAGGGACAAACGGCAACAGCAAAGACATCGATAAAGGGGGGAATAAAAAATCCGTGCGGTTGACACATGGGTTGCTGTCCGCATCGGCTGCCATCGAATCGACAGTCATGCTACAGCAATGCTGCTGCCGGTGCTATCGCTGTAGTCCTTGCAGTTTGGGGCACATAAGCGCTCGCTCGTCCAATCGTCTTTTGGAGCGCAAGCTCTGCAATGACCATGTTGATTCTACCGTTTTTCTGACGATGCTGTCTATTGGATAGTCTTCACGTCGAGACTGTTGTTCTGACCTCTACATACCCAGCTTTCTCTCCCTCCATACCCATGTTCTGTACCCACCAACCAAAACATAAGTCACACATGGTACACACAAACAGAAGGCGTATGGCCTGGCGACAGCGGTAGCTTTACAAAAAATAAACAGGCAACATAGCGTTCCGCTTCATTGCACTGCTTTTGCGTGCCGAGCAAGACTCCGGACTCACAGCCTCTATCGCCTTCGCGTCCAGGAACAACAACCTGCTGCCCGTGCTGTGGCCCAGCGAACGGGCGAGGGCCTCCTGCATGCTGTGCGTGGCCTCAGGCGCCACGAGCCTCACGCCACGAGTGACTCTCGGGAGGTTGGCGGTGTGGCGGAGGTACTTGGGGTGGTGGGCGAGCGTTGCGGCGCCTCTTAGCTGTTCGGGATAGGGACGGGAAGGGGCGGGGGAAGAGGGATACGCGGAGGAGACGCGTACAAGCAGAGACAGACGTTACAGGTACATGATACATAGATGATGGCGAAAAGGGACTGGGGGGGGAAGGACGACGACAGGGTTGCAAACCGCACGATCTATTTCACCCCGGATAAAACAGCTGTTACAGCCAGCAGTCGGTGCAAATGCAACACTGCCGTCGAGTACTGACGGTCGCCTCCTACCCACCAAAACCCCCTCATCCCTTACCTGCAAGAGCGCGTCGCGGTCAATCCAGCGGTTGTTCAGCCCCCCGGAGGACCCGTTCCCCTGCATCTCCGCCAGCAGCAGCCGGTACAGCAGCCCCAGCGACGACTCATCGTCGACCACCACCCCTGACCCCGCTTCCCCGCCCCCCCCCGGCCTGTCGTTCACCGCCGCCGGTTGCGCCATCTCGTCCTCTCCGCTGTCTCTGCGTCGCCCCGCCCCCTTCTTCGCCGCCGCCAGCGCCGCTTCTTTCGCCGTTCGGCCGGGCCCGGAGTTCCACTCGGTGGGGGCGGCCTCCATGAGCTTCTTCTGGTCCGCTCGCACGCCCTCCGATAGCTCTGCGACTTCTGCCTGGGACAGCGGCAGCAACACCTGGCAGAGGGGGGGGGGGGGGGGGGGGGGGGACCCCTTTTTTTTTTTTCCGCCCAAACGGTTAAGC